GGGGACTGGGGGGACAGTGGAGCAGAGCTGGAGACACTGGGAGGGACAAGAGAGTGCTGAGGGTGACAGGGGGACATGGAGGGGGGTACCTGAGGGTGGCAGAGGAGGGGCAGGTGACGGAGTGGCCACGGGGGTGTCCCCATGGCCACGCTGACCCCAGCCGCCCCCCGCCCAGGTGTCCCGGCCGTGCTGAAGGTGACCGGTCCCCCTGCGGCCAGCGCGGGGCCCCCGCTGGTCACCGTGCGCTCGGCCGGGCCCGGCAAGGCCCCGGTGACGGTGACATCGCTGCCAGCCGGGGTCAGGATGGTGGTGCCCACCCAGAGCCCCCAGGGCACGGTGAGAACACCTGGGGAACACCTGGGACAGGTGGGGGGACCTGGGGGCAACTGGGGACAGAGGGAGGGTCCTGGGGGGGGATGCTGGGGGCACAGGTGTGACACAGGTGTGTTTTGGGGGGCTCTCTGGGTGCCACAGGTGAGCCCTGGGCGGTACCTAGGTAGCCCAGGTGTGCCCGAGCTGTGCCCCAGGTGTTATGTCGGTGGCACTCGGGTGCCACAGGAGCTGTAGGTGGTACCTGGGTGGTACTTGGGTGTCCCCTAGCTGTCCCCAGGTGTGCTCAGGTGCTCCCCCCGCAGGTGATCGGCAGCAGTCCCCAGATGAGCGGCATGGCCGCGCTGGCCGCAGCGGCCGCAGCCACCCAGAAGATCCCGCCGGCCTCGGCCCCCACCGTGCTCAGCGTCCCCGCCGGGGCCACCATCGTCAAAACGGTGGCCGTGACCCCCGGGGCCACCACCCTGCCCGCCACCGTCAAGGTGGCATCGTCACCTGTCATGGTAGGGGACAGTGGGGACGGGCAGGGGACGCTGGGGAGGGGGGGTCGTCATTGTCACCGTGGTGTCACCACAGAACTTTCTGGTGCCTGGGGTGGCACCGTGGGGACATTGGTGGCCATTTTTTGTCACCGGGGGACTCGAGGTGACCCCGTGGTGTCACTGGGCAGCTTGGGGGGATCACTGGGGTGACACTCATGGGTGTCCCCTGATGTCCCTGCTGTGTGTCCCCACACTGTCCCCACCTGTCCCCCCAGGTGAGCAACCCTGCCACCCGCATGCTGAAGACGGCGGCCGCCCAGGTGGGCACGGCCGGGGCGTCCCCTGCGGCCACCAACGCGGCCACCAGGCCCATCATCACCGTGCACAAATCCGGCACGGTGACGGTGGCCCAGCAGGCCCAGGTGGTCACCACCGTGGTCGGAGGGGTCACCAAGACCATCACCCTGGTCAAGAGTCCGATCTCCGTGCCGGGGGGCAGCGCCCTGGTGAGGGGGGACCCCGGTCTGGGGACACGGATTTGGGGACACGGGGGGTGTTAGGAGGGGGGGGACACCCAGATCTGGGGGGCTCTGGGGCCACAGAGACTCAAATTGGGGGGTCCTGGGGGGGGTCACAACCCCAAACTCCCTCCCCCCCTTTTTTTGGTGTTGTGGGGATTTTTTAACTCCAAACCCCCCTAATTCGGGGGGTTTAAAACCCCTCAAAGGTCAGGATTGGAGGTTCAATTTTTAGGGATGTTTCTGGGGGGGTTCCTTGGGGGTCTCAGTGCCCCCCCTGACCCCCCCCGGGCCCCCCCAGATTTCCAACCTGGGCAAGGTGATGTCGGTGGTGCAGACGAAACCGGTGCAGAGCTCGGCTGTGACCGGGCAGGCCTCGAGTGGCCCTGTCACCCAGATCATCCAGGTGACACCCCAAA